TTTTAACCTCGAAACGCATTCTTTTTGGATTAGATTCAGTAATACATAATATTACAATTTATTTAGACTACTACGAAGAAAACCGGAAGTAATTTTTGCGTCTAGCAGGATAAAAAATAACGAGAATGTTCAATGTTGAGAAGAACAAACAATGAAACAATACAGGTAAAAACTGAGTTAATGATTAACCTTCGCAGCTTCTGCCATCCATATGTAGTTCGTAGCCAATGTCACATTCGCAACGATATCCTCCAAGCGTATTCACGCATTTATGCTGACAGCCATGATTGGAGGTCTTGCACTCGTCGAATTCTGTGAAACATTCAGCATTCGAAAGCAACGGCACTGACTATCAAGCCCACCTTTAATGAACTTAAACGAAAAGCCTGGTTTTTCCACTGACGCATCGCTGACGAAACGCACGCGCATCTTATTCTCGGTAGATTTGATGTTGTTTGGGAGAGAATAACCACAAAACCTACCGATCAACTTCGAATCTTCATCGTGGCCATCACGAAACTCCAAATAATCATATATGCAGTCTTCATGTTGTTCTAACTGCGTTATATCGATTAGACAGAAGTGTAGCAAAAACGTAAGCGACTTACTTGAAAAGTTGTGAAAATTACGGCCACCTGATATTCTTCAGGAACTGTCAGCAACCAGAGACAGTCGCTCTCTGGCGAATATTCATAAGGATAGTTCGGGTTCTCGATCACGCCACTATCGGCCGATATTTTTCCACCACATATCACTTAAAATGTGACTGTAGATAAATTGGCACAAGTCTGAGAACGACAAACGGCTAATCAATACAAATAAAATTCAGAAGTTCTGATTCACAGCTAATTAACTTCAGACAAACTCGAAGTTAAATATCAATTTAAATATACTTTGAGATCAGAATAGTAAAACGCGATGCAACCAACAGGTGGAATAACTTTTTCTAGAAAGTAACGTGTAGAAACTTACTGCAACAAATTTTCCGCAGCTTAACACTTAAATGCAAATTATTGACTGAAAATAAACAATCAAAGCAATGAAGTATTATTTTTTAAGAATTTAATCTTACTCAAAATTCACTTTGCCTTTTCACATCAGCCATATATGCGAAACGAGGAAATTTCGTAGTAAAATTAGTAAAGTACTTTCATTTTCTTAAGTTTAATCACACTTCATGAAAAATAACGTGTTGTATAAAAATGCTGTCAGCTAGAATCCTCTGTCAAGGGTTAAAAAGTTGGAGTACACTTCTTAAAATCGGTCCTCTTCCTAATATCATCGACTTCTGCCACCTTCGATCTTGATCGGTTCATCTACTGATTAGTAGGCGCTGATGATCTCTTTTTCACTGTCTCGAGGGCCCGATCAGCAGAGGGATTACTTTTGCCTTTACTCTCCAGATCATTTTATTTCAATCTTCATTCCTCATACTTCAACAATTTTTTTCATCCCATTAACAACCAGTCAATGCTAGTCTGATATATTATATCAAAATTTTGTATTCGTTTTCTCTCTGAGTTTACAAACTATAGCTGAACGAAAAGTCAATTTTTTTCAAGAATATTTTCACTTACTCAATCAACCCCACTTCTTTTAGCTAATGTTTCCACCTTGTATGGGCGCTCGATATGACTGATCTATTCTTGGCAAGACAAAAAGCCATCTATCTAAGGAAAGACTTATCTAATTTCGACAGCAAGTAAGCTACAGAATACATTGCTCGCAAGTAATAAAACATATGGCAAACTTTTTTGAATCTTTACTATGCTATCTATCTTTCCAGGAGACAAACTTCTTAAAATTTGATTGATCGGAATGCACAGACGCCGGCGATTGAATGACTGTAGGAAACTTGAAAAAGTCATTATTAACACCCCTGTGTGAGAATATAGGAAATTAGCTGTTCGTGCAGAACATGGTATTTACTACTGCTATACTGCACCAAGTTCGTCATATATAAAGCTGACTTTTGAAATCAAACAATGTTACAAAAGCGAGCTAAATACTATTCAAAGAGTTGCCCTATCGTGCAATAAGATTTCTGCTTGCCTAATCTCAATTATTTAAGAAATTTGTTAAAAACTTTTTCCGAAAACGGTCTAATTTCCTTTTGTCTTGAAGGTCTAAATCTAAATTGGAGTTACACCTTCAGATGATTATTGCACAGCTGATAAAGGAAAACTGATGGCGAAGACGAAAACTTTAGTTTTCTGGAAAGATAATTACGTAGTGTCACAAATCGGTTTGTGTGCAATGAATAATGTTGCTTAAGCACATATTGAAACACCTGATTATGTTTTGTCAA